AATGCATCGATTCTGGATAATCAGATAAAACACTTAGGGACTATGCCATTCTTTCTCATAACCGCACTGATTTCGCAATAATTTTTCATTATATCGTATACACACTAAATTCTAATTCATTTATCACTGCCATGCCATATTCACGTACTACACATTTAACTCATGGAAACGGCAAGGTAGCGCACAATATATTGCGGATGCATCCGAAGTAAAATATAAACCTGCACAAAGGTCTTCAGTAGATAAATACTCTAAGTTTAAATGTGTCGTATTTTTTTTATTTCTTATCCGTTCGCCGAACTAAGCATGAATGTAATGACACGCACCAATCATCGGACCGATGTCTCATAAGACTAAGTGCAAAGCAAAAAAAATTGACTTTGTTTGCCGTAGAATTTATTATCCCCATTCAAAAAATATGAAAATATCGAACGAGAGTGCCAAAGTAATACCGACCGGATTTCATTTTGAATTCAAGACTGATGTTCGTTCATCGACTTACCTTTAATTTATGATTTATAATCCATGAAATCCAACTATCCTTATGCCATTCGGAATTGTTGGAAATGTTCAGACTTTGAATGCCAATAGTATCGTAGAACCGACAATTGCTTTTTAATACAGAAAAGTAGAAGTTTCTGTTCTTCAGGTCAACGGTTTTTTTTTTCGAAATCAATTGAAATTGGAAAATTGACAAATTATAAATAAAATTGGTCAATTTCGGTATAGTAGCAAAAGTTCATATTTTCAAGCCGCATTTTCTTTGAAAAATCATTTTTTAAGTTTTCCGTCTTTTGATCGATAACTCCTTTCTAAATCAATAAAAATTTCGTTTGGGAGCACTTGAACAAAACGAAGTAGAGAAAATTCACATTCGATTACGAGCAAGTGGTTTGTTTTTCTTTCGGTTTCTGTTTTCCTTCAATTGGCATTGTAATTTTGGTGCACATTTCAAATGAAATCATCGAAAGGCAAACGATAAAATACTCCTTGCCTTCGATATGACTTCCATTCGCAATTGATTGTAGATCATGTAATTTCATTAGATTGTTGCTTTCATTCTCGTGTTTGGCTTGTGAAAATGGTAGAAAAAAAATGTTGATGTAGTCGAATCGTGCAACTTGAAGTGCATCAGAGACCAAAAGGGCACTCCATTAAAATTATTCGTTCAAATAAACTATGAAATCAATCGTTTTAATCGATGTAGCAAATCCATGTGCAAACTGATTTAATAAATGGTGCGCAAGTGATTTGTGAATCGTTTTCGACGTATACATTTTCAACATGTTTGTGTCGGTCGGTCGGTCGGTCTTGAATGTTTTCAGGTGAATTAAATCGAAAATCGCATCAACAACGTCGAATGCCAGATCGATGTGCTTCAATTCTTCAGTATTTGTGTGCTGGCAGCGCTAGTGGGCGATTTGAAAAACCTTAATCAAATCACATAATCGACGCACATGTTGCCGAACAATATTTCTGCTTGTACGTTCGATTTATCAAGGCAAGACCGTGTACGAATGTCTACTAGCGCAAACAACCCCGAAGTAAAATTGGGAATTGTCCAATGTCTTTAACTCTCTTTTGTATTCGAGGTGAGAGTGAGAGAACAGAAACCGAAATCGAATAAAAACGAGAGCAACATTTATGACCATCGACGAAAATTATAATTCATGTATTTGCAATTGGCATTGAATGCGCCCAGCATAGTGCACACCGGAACCGATTTACAATTTTACATATTGCATATGATCACATCCATTGTGTGTTGCAACACATTCGAAACGAAGAGAAAAACCCGTTGAACATGTGTAACTTTAAATTAACAATAAGAACATTTTCGTGAATTCAACACAAATGGATGGACGAACGGATGGACGAATGAAAAATGGAAGGCGACAGAGGAAAATACAAGTTTAGAAAATAAAGAGTGTGTTTGAGAGAGAGAAAGCGTCTGCGTTCGGTGAAAAATTGGCGAATCGTTTGTTGGCAAGGGTGGATTTAATAATGCATGGACATTTAGTTTGTTGTCGATTTGCAAGTGAAGAATGCCACTGAATAGCAACGACGCATCAATTTGAATCGACAAAAAGAAACACAATATCGAGAAACAATGTTCGATAATATTTAGCATTCGTTGAGCTATGAAGTAAATCTTGTGTCGAGCTTTGACGCTCTTTATTGTGTGCCTGTGTTTTGTAGTTGAGAGCTTGGAATAAAGTGGCTTTTATTTCTCTTCTCTCTCTATTTCTATCTCCCACTCTCTCTCTCTCTCTCTCTCTCTGTGTGTGTGTGTGTGTTTGTGTTGTGTGTGCATCTCATCCATCACATGGCATTGATGCATTCATCACATTTCACGTTCTACTTGTAACGTTTGCAATTCATTGTCGCTTATGCATGAAGAACGTAAAACGCATGCAATTTTAAGTGCATGACAAATCGAAGCACTTAGCGTTAATGTTTCAACAAATTTGTGTTGTACATTATGCGATCGGTTATCGGTTCGTGAAAATGTGTTACATTGCATCTGTGTTCGTGCGTTTTTATGTGTATTGCAAAGCATTTGTTGTTGATGCGTGTATGCATCAGGGGTGTCTGTTTGTAATGTCAATTCAATTTCAATTGCTGCATATTTATGAATGGTAAAAGATTTCTTGCGTTTTACTTTGCATTTTATTGATACGCATAGAGAATTTCTCTCCATTGAGACGTGTATGTGGTAAATGTAGTTTCCATACATACATTGGCCATTGTGACAAACGTGCACTTGTGCTTCCAATACACCCACAAAATGACGTTGACGACGAGAGAAATCCGACAATTCACGCTTAATCTCGTATTGTCGATTGTAATTCACCGAACTAGAGAGATTGTATTGACCAACCGAAACACAACATCAACCGATAAACAGTGTAAACTAAATACAAAATATGTATATGGTTACGGTGCTCCAACAGTAATTCGATTCACTGTCGATTGTTTTGTCGTTTCCTCCTTTACATTATTATCAATGTATGTTAATAAATTGAACAAGTCTTGGCATATTTTACATTTTACAAAGATAAGATTATATGCGAGGTATCCATTTAATTTAGTCAAACGCACCTTCGTTTCGCCTCATCGTCATCATCTACTTCTTTTGTATTAACCATCCGAAATTGCACGCCTTTTCATCTAGCGACCAAACGAGAGAGACATAGTGTGTGTTTGAGGGAGAGAGAGAACAAAAAAAGAAATACATTTTGATTTAATCAAACCCGATTCTTTTCAATTCCAAACATCCCATTCGAAATGCGCACAACCAAACTTGGCAAATGGCATCGGTTGATCGAGAAAAAAAGGCAAAATAATAAAACGATTGAGCTCGCGCAATGGAGTGGCCCCATTAAAATATCATCGATTATAATGTGTTTTAACGTTTTTACAAACTCTATTAAAATTGAAATAAATGTGTATTTTCAAGTCAATTTGAAATATATGTCCAAAAAAGAAATTGCTTTTAACAATAAATAAAATGCGCTCATTCTCGTACTTGCGCTCGCGCTCACTTATTAACTCTCTTGCTACGGTGCCTTTGTGTTCTGTATTTGGATTTCAATATGGTATTGTGTTGGATATTCTCGATGAAGGAGGATAAATTCCAAAAAAACTACACACACACACACGAAACGAAACAACAAACACACACGGCATATTAACAACAATCGAAAACAATCGGGCCGCGAACACACAACCAAAACGAAAAATTGATTATGAAATTCTAACAAAACAATGGCCTCAAGACCAAAAAGATGAATATACACACACACACACACCAAATAACGCACTCGCTTTGTATCAATAAGAATAGTAATAATAGCACGCCCAAACGTCATTATTATCAGTGTTTTATATTCCTCTTTGTCGAATCTCTTACTGATTGTGGCATATAGTTGTTGTTGTTGTTGTTTTGGTCTTTTGTGGCATGGATTTCAATAGATTGTTCGATACATTTAGTCAGTTCTTATGAACGATGATTTTTTTCCCTTGTTTTTCAATTCAAATTTTTAGTTTTCGCTCGAATTTTCCCTCTATATCGCTTTCTGTATCTATCATTTTTCACTTGATTTTTGAATATGTTGCTGTTTTTTTTTTCCTCACAAAACTTTTAAAACACTTGAGACGGTGCTAACGATCACAATTGAATCGATATTTACATGCACTGTGTCTCGATTCGTTTTTAGTGGGCGCCTTGTCTGTCTTTATTCTTTACGTTGTCTGTCGAAGAAGAATACACAAGGTTATACCGGCAAAAGAAAATGAAACAAACGAAGAAAAAATTGGCAGATGAATTGAATTGTTTAATTTCCTTCATGGAGAGAAAGAAAAAAAAAACGAAGTGGAACACGATTCAAACGATAGCAACAAAATTGCGCCGAAAGCGCTCATTGAATCTTTCAATATGAATATTACAATGTGCCTAATTTAACTTGCGCTCTCGATCGAGCGAGACGCAAGAGTCGAGTGCCGCCAAATGAAAATGTCATCATTAAAAATGCACCGAACACAAGCGACTTTTTTGAAGCGTTGAATTCTTTGTGTCGACTATTTCATCTCTATGAGACAATTACAAATGTTTTGCTTACGTTCTATTGAAAAATGTCATTTGGTATAATTTTTTATGTTCTTTTGTGGGAGAGCCTTTTAAAAAATTCCTTATTTGAAGTACATAATGTTGTCACTTCTCATCGAGAGACAAAAATTATGTGTTACTATTTCGAAACCATACATACAAAAAAAAATAAGGGAAAAATATGACGATTTATGTTGGGAAGGCATAAAATAGCGCATATCAAATGACATTAATGGTTTCGAATGATTAATGAAAAATCGTATCGATTCACCTATTTCATTTTCTCGATGTGTGATTTCAAATGTCAGCGAGCCCATTCAACTGTATAAAAACAAATGCATCCCAATATTTATTTTATTAATTTCGTTCAATATTTCTCTCTTCTCTTTAGACACACCGATAAATACGAGGGATAAAGAATCATTTATTAACTGACGTCGAGACCATCAACAGAACTAACAACAATAACTTACACCAGGGTAAGCATACGCATAATACGATGAATAAGTGACGCGCACTTTGCGATTCGAAAAAACAACAATAACAATACACGTATTGATAGCCATTGTAATAATTGATTGAATTTGATTTTATGTATGTTGAGATATTGCATACACTCGCTTCTCCTGACAACAGTCGCCCAAAAGACACATTTACCAAATGTGATTCGCGTGGCACGATGTATCGCAGCGTTCATTGTTGAAATGAAGAGAAGAGAAAAAAAAACGAAGGAACAAAAAAACGAAACTGCACGATTAAAGTGATGCCGTGAAACCGGCACACCAATAAATGTAACAACATTGAAACACATATGCAGAACAGTATTGAAACATATTCGATATGTGCTGCAGTTAAACGATAAACGATATGTATTGAGAGAGAGAATGAATGAATCAAGAAATAGAGAGAAGTAAAAAAAAAATAGTCCATCCGACCCCAATAACAACAAAAATCACTTAAGACAATGTAAAAAAGGAAAACAAAATAATGGAAAATAAGATAACGAACGCCAGCAGCAGCAACATCAGTAGCTGTAGCAAGTAAAGTTCGAAATAAAAAAAAAATACGTACACATATATAAAACAAGCAAATAGACGCAAATGTATCGACGTCGACGACGAGACAGCGAACGATTTCGACGGATAAAATTGAAATGACACTGTGTGTCTTTATGGATATTATGAACGGAAATGGGCTTTTAAAAACTGTACCGACCGATCCACAAATTTATCTATTAGCTATCACATTGAATGTTATTGCTATATGAATGCTGGGGTTACGTGTGTTGGAGGTTTGACGCTGCCATACAGATGAAGAAATGACGATAGTGTTCTAGAAATTATTGAAATGATGACAACGCAAACGACAACCATAACAACATATTTATTCATGCTTAGATGCAGAATGGTTAATGTGATTAAAGTGAAATTTATGCGTTCGACTGTTAATCATTCATTCGACAAGAGGCAGACGCGTCGCTTGAAAAAGAAGCGTGCGACGTACAAACAAAAACCCAGAGAAATTCAATGAATAGAATATGAATGAATGGAATGAATAAAACTGTGAAACTTGATGACTTTGCGTCCAATTTCAATTTTAGATTTTATTCGTTTTTCTGGTTTGTTGTTGTCTCTTCCCGCATCTCAATGTATCATATGTGCTCAATAGATACATAATGTGTTCGCGCTATTGTTGTCAATCTCGTTTACGTTTTTTTTTTTGTTCCGCTCGATTCCCTTCCGTTTTTTGTAAAACTTAGTGTGTCTTATGCTATTTTTTTTTCGGTTTCGATTTAGCTGAAAAGTCAATTCGGTTTTTTTTTCTCTCTCTCTCTATTCTTTGTCCATATTTTTTCCATCCTATTATTTACTTTTCCAATGAATGTGTCGAAGTTTTGTTGTTATTTTTCGTCTGTTGTTCATCATGTCCCAGGCCAATGCATAGTGTATTCATGCGGTATGAACAACAACAACAAGACAAGAGAAAAATAGTTTTACATATGTTTCTGGCGGTGTCAATTTTTACTCAACCGAAAAACGTATTCCGAAACATTACAATATGGCAAAACATGATACTTGAAGAGAGAGAGAGAGAGAGAGAGAGAGAGAGAGAGAGAGAGAGAGAAATTTACGCACTCTATTTCATCGATGAGTTTTGTTGGACGAGACATGCTTGGCAAACTGCATATGAAGCACAATCGGCAAAACAGTGATCACATGTTCTCCATATTGAATGTTAAATGTAGATGAAAGAACTAAAGGAATAAAAACTAATGTCTAGAAAACGGAAAAAGCCAAGAAACCGAGAGAGATTGTGTGAATATCGATTTGAATATGGCATCGAGTCAGTTGGGTGCGCTCTGGTCTTGGAATGCAAAGAGTCAATCGAATGAATTTGAATAAATTGAAAAGTTTTGTTTCATTGACAAGAGAAACAAATAGCAAACCAACGACGGAACCAACAGAAAAAAGCGCTCGTACACAAATGAAAATAACATAATGTAAAACAACAATCAGTATCTATGTTTCGGAATGAATCATGCATTAGTGAAAATATGCATGAATAAAAAAAAACAAGGAGATCTTATAAAGTCAAATGAGAAAACGGGGCGAAAAAAAATGGCCAATCAAAGAAATGATTTGTTTTCATTTTGTATGTATATCGATGAAGCATGGAATTGACGATTCAAGCATATTTAATAAAAATTAATGTGTATTGAGCGCCCTTCGATATCGTTTCGGAATCACGCCAGCTAGAATCGAAGAACGATTCAAAAGAAACGCGTGGGGCTTATTTGATAAGGAAGGGAAATGAGCATCATGTCGTTTTTGGCGGCTCGTCTAATGGTTGCTCGTCCATGCACTCAATGATATTTCGGTCTAAATCACTCGACAAACAAACGGTCTTATCAGAAGCGCACTGTTGGTGTGCCGCTGCTACAAAAATGATGTGACCTGATGTTGACATTGTTCTTGTTTTCATTTATTTTATTTTTGTGTTATCAGAACGGCAACGGAATTGACTGAGAAATAATCATAAGTAAACGCAAATTGAAGAAAAAAAAAAAACAGAAAATCATCAAAATGAAATTCATGGCAGGCGGCCCGATGCCTGCGTGTATTTACATCATTTACCATTTTAAAGCAACAGCAGCGGCAGTTACATTTCATTTTTTATTCTAACACCATTTGTACGCCTACACGCACCACACACATTTTCAATGGGTCGACTCCGTAGACAGAATACCATCCGAATTAATTCACCATCCATTTCCGAATCGAGAGAAGAAACGATCAATTTATATAGTCTTCTCTTCTCGTCTCTATCTATTTCTCTTTTTTTTCTCGAATTGTATTTAAAATGTATGCGGAAAGTGGTGCTTAACTCGATATCGATTTTAATGCCAAAATCCACTCATCTTACACACTAACTATATGGCATCTCTTTATGAATAGACAACTTATTAAATTTCAATGAAATTTGAGATAGTGACGCCTATTTTTGGTTTGCCTCGTAAAGAGTTTGATGTCTTCGAGATAAACAAACCGGTACATATTAAATCGTACGCATGCCAATTTATTGACTTGTGTCATATTTTTTTTGTTGTTGTGTTTCGTAATTTTTCTTTTCTTCCATCTTCGAACAAAAGATGTGCAAACTCACATACGCACTAGTTACGGCCACACCGCGGTAAATTATATTTTCATGTGCTATTTCATTTCGACTAAAATGGAGATGAAACGAACAAACAACAACAAAAATATTATTATCGAAACGAAATACAATCTATAGATAGATTGAAAATGGAAATCCCAAAAGCGAATTGAATGGCAATTCAGTGTGGCAAAAACAGACGCGGCAACAAACAACCGAACACAAAAAAAAAAATATTGATGGAAAAATATTCTATTACTGCGGTTGAAATGTGTTCGCTTTCTTTTAGTATAGTAACCATATACTATGGTGTGTGTGTGCGTGTATGTGTGAGTGTGTGATTGTGAGTTTGTCTCATCTTCATTACAAAACTGACATATTTCATGCCGAAATACACACATTCATCTCGTATTGCAGCCGGGAATGTTAGAGAGTGTACATTATTGTTTACTCCTGTTCTCTCTGGCTTATTTGTCATTGTCCTCTGTCTATGAGTTTCCGATGCCTAAGGATAGATAGATTCGTAAAGAAAGATTAAAAACAAAACCAGGAAAAAAAATTCGAAAAGGAATTACACGATGGATACATTGTCATGCTGACAGAAAGCAGCAACGAGAGCAACAAAAACATTGACGCCATAAATAATATCGGTTTGGTATTGTTAAATGGGTTTGATTGCAAAAAAAAAAAAAAACAGCGAGCACACAGATTTCGTTCCTCTTTTGGAATTCGAAGGCCAACCACGAAAAAAAGAGCGCGACGAGTATTTCACTTGAACATAACAATGGGTGAAAATCGAAACAGCCATATGATATTCAGACAATAAAACTCAGCTCCGGGCAACTGAAAGCAGCTAAGATGTATATGCAATTACCGCATTCGCTGAATACAAAACAAAAATATGAATGTTTTAGTACAAACGCAATTTTTTTTATTTTTTACTTATCACATTTATATTTTGAGCATATTCTTACCATCGAATAAAAAAAAAACAGAATCAAAATTCATATACAACAAATACTCACAAAAAATCGAACTCTTAAACACAATCGAAACTTAAATATTACAGAAAGAAACGAGCAAAATAAAAAAAAGGATGTCCTTAAAAATGATCATTAGTTAAGTGATATCGCCAATTTCGTATTTGAATTTTTTCGCCATGATGTTGGTGTGGTTGTGATAAATTGTGATTTGGTCTCATTTCAAAATTGCGATCGAAACGATAATCAAAATTGGCGGTTGTTGTGATACCATCGACTGTGTCACGATCCGATCCAGTACATTTAAGCAATTTGTTACGCACACGTTGCCCAAGCAATTGCAAGAAATTTTTCTTTTCATTTTGTGGTGGCATATGCATTGATTTACCCATGTTGCCGTTGGTCATTTGCGTTGAAGCGTTGATGATTTTTCGATCGACATCCTGGCACATCGATCGAAAGGGAAACGTTTGTCATAAGAAACTTGTATCGATGTTTCGTTGATTCTTTTTCAAAATGTATACACAAATGCACAATACAGCCAACAGCAAACAAACTAAAATTAACATGGAAAAGAAGGCGTGCTTAAATTTTGAACCATTCGCAGCTGCCATTGCAATAAACAATGGATCATCATCGAAATCAGCACGCGAAAATATCCCATTCGTGTAATTGAACAAGCGCAAATCATAGTATGTACTCATTTCCGGTAACAGGTCCATCCAAAACGAATTGATTTTCGTCAATGCATTAAAGTATTCGGACGTTTCGTAAACTCCCAAATAACTTTTCGACATTCGAGCCGAATCGGTTGGATTTTGTGGTTGATTTTCTTTACCAATACGATATGGATTCAATATATTCGAGGACACAACACGAGCTTGACCATGAATCATATTTTCGATTTCAACCGAATTTTTCTCCAAATCAGCCGTGAACATGCCATTTTCAGCGATTGTTGACGATGGAATGTCGCTCATATCGCTGCCGGTTGTAAGCGATGTTTCACCTAAAATTTGCACAAATTTTTGCTTTGATGTGTACGGACGCCATGCATCAAATATTCGTCCTGGCGTTGGATTGCCCATTTTTATAAATTCACTGAACAAATGTCGCATTCGAAGACATAAACGCATTTCCAATGACGTTAATTTTCGTCGACTGATTTGCTGAAAGAGACTTGGACCCATTAAAAACAATAAATCAGATGTATGACCAGCTCCACCAAAGTAATTGGTCGCACCACGAATATCTATCGATTTCGAATGATGAAATGAATAGACGTAAAATGTTTTTTGAGCACGACGTTGTACAGCACTTTCAATAGCAACCGTATCGTTCATTGCAATTGACGTATTTAACGTATGATTACTTGTTAAACGTTCAATTGTCTCTAAAAATGGTGTTTCATACTTTGTTTCCGATATTAAACGTTGCATTGCATTCAATAAATATGACGGAGTTTGAGGAATACGATCGAAGAAACGCCATGATATCATTCGACGCACCTGATCGGTTGCACCATTCTCAAAACCATAGTGAGATAGCACATTCGGCAATAGAGATGATGTTATATACTTTTTCAACGGTTCATATCCTTCACGCGCCAATTCGAGCCACAATTCTGAAAAAACAATGATAGGAAAGGATGAATGAAGCGACTTTGAAGAGCTTATTTAAATCACAAAAAATGACGAAATGAACTCTCTTTTGCTCTAATTAAAATTACCTTGAATAAAAGCACCTTCATTGCTGGTTATTCCTATCAAAATTGGTATATTTGGATAATCACCGAGTTCAAGTACAGTTTTCGGATCGGTCGATAGATATTGAATTGATTTCGGTAAATAGGTATCTATTTGTGGTCCCAATAGTTTCGTATAATTTCCATGCTAAAAAGTGACGAAAAAAAAAACATTCACAAAAAACAATAATGAAAATGTATACACTGTAAAATGCAATATGGACATGATTTTCCGTAATTTAAACTCATTAAATACTAATTAACACTATTTCAAATGTGAAATGGATGGTAATTGGTATTTTTTTTCTGCATTTCACTTGCCAATTTTATTTCAATTTAAATTTGAGTTAATTTTTATCACATAATTACACATACATACTCATTCGCTCATGCGAGCTCAAAATTACAAACTAAATACAAAAACTAATTAATCAAAACAATGAATGGCATTTTTTTGTTCGTACCTCATAAATGTGTTCGAATGCTTTCAATAAATCGGTAACACTTTTTTGTCGTAGGCAATCTAAAATGTATTTAATGTGCGACGAGCTGCATGCTAATTTTTTAACAATGGCCCATGAAAGATCATTGCCAGTGGTTAAATTATTGGATGCATCGACATTTTGATAGGACCATGATGAATAAATCGTACCCGACATCACAATCATGCGTGCAAACAGTGTGGCCGTTTTTGGATTGGTCAAATGAAGCATTGCGTTTGGCGCCCCGGATGTTCCATGTCCGAGTAATGTTACTTGTTTCGGATCGCCACCGAATTTATGAATGTTCTCTTCAATCCATTCGAATGCCATTTGTTGATCGAGTAAACCCAAATTCCCAGGAGCTTCTGGACTACGTAAACTTAACCAACCAAAGATATTTGTTCGTGATTGAATGGTCACAACAACAATGCCTTCGGCAGCCAAATCCAGACCGGTCGGACGATTTTGTGCCCAATCGAATGCTTGCTCTTCACCCGTTATAATCACAAGCACTGAATGATTACCACCACGTAACGCCGACTAAAATGGAATTTTACATTTTGAACAATTTAATTATTTGCTATCAATAGAAACTCATCATTGTTGAGAGAATTATGAATTTCGATTTTCAAATAATTAGAATTGATTTGAATTAGTCTACTACCTGTGGCGACCAAACATTGACATAAAGACAATCTTCATCGGTTTTTATTGCATGCGGTGCATATCCGTTGTGCGTTTCATCAAACATATAATTGGTTAGTTGCGGACAAATTGGTTTATAATCGCGTGCAGGCAATGTCCGATTTCCCCAGCCCGAATGACGTTTGGGTGCCTGAACAAATCAAATATCACAATTGGAATCGTTCAAATCATCAGCCCGAGAAACATTGAAAAAAAAAAAAAAAAAAAAAAAAAAAAAACAGAAATAGTAATTATGAATTAAAATTCGACAAATGATTTGATCACGAAAGAACTTACGGCAAATCTCAAATTGCCGGTCGGTGATTGAGCGTATGGAATGCCCAAGTATGAATAAACGGCCGTTCTTGTCATAATTTTCAACTGTATGAAGAAAAAAACATGAAAAAAAAACGTATGTAACAGGTGCGGTTGGGGTTGTTTGGGCTCTTTTAGAAATGCAAATGACACATACACCAATAACGGCACCTTGCTTCAGCATAACCATTCCATCGGGATGTTGTGCATATGCAATGCACAAAATACACGATATAAACACATAGAAAATCGCTTTACGGCATGTGGTTTCATCCATTATTTTAAATTGTCAAAAGATTTTTTGAATGCTTTGAGGAAACTATGACCAAAAATGTCTTTTATATACTTTAAATCTCTGCTTCAACTGCAGTATCCAGACCGTTCTTTGAAACACTTCAACCATACACATGCACCAAAATGAAATTGACTCTAAAATTGAATTGTCTTGTTTTGAACCGTATCACCTCACTCTCTCAGATATCATTGACGAGCGCTCAGCTCATTTTACTGCTAAATTTAGCTCATTTTTGGTCAACAACATGAACAACACTGTGTATCACACACAAAAATCAACTGTCAAAATACTTATAAAATTGACATTTATAAGAAATCTTATTCAGTGTATTTTGACCAATACAATATAGTTTCTGTATAATAATTCTACAGGGACTGTATATGTAGATGGACTAAACTATACAGTTTTCTTAAAATCGTCAATTTTATATAGAATGTGTAAGTAATTTGGCAGATGATTTCTATGTGTGTATCCTAAACCAAAAATTATCTGTTTCACTTTCAACCAAATGACCAAAAGTACCCACCGCTAATAATAACAGTATATCGTCGGAATAAAAAACCGAAACCTTTTAGCACAAAAACACCATCACACAGTTATGCCGTACAAATTTATTACATAATTAAAACGGCTTAAAGCCTTTTTTCGAAACGGTCAATAGGTTAAACGTGACGATTTTCACTTCTTGTGGTGTTCACGTCGCGACGTGTACAAAAATCCAAATTGCACAACACATGAAATTGTAACGGTCTCAATGCTGCCATTCAACACAACAACAAAAAAACGAAAAACATCAATGGCTACGACGAACAAAAAAGTGTATGTGTGTACAGCACTTTTTTTTAAGTAAAAATCTGCTGGAACTTTATGTTACACCAGCGTATGACAAAATGCGCTTTTAGTATATAGAATGGTGCACGATTTAAATCACTCTCTCTTGCATACACAAAATAAAGTCATACCGAAAATGACGACATTTCAACGCGGTGTTCAAAACCTGACTGGATCCGAATCAAATATTCTAAAACATCATGAGTGAACACACACACACCCAGAGAACAATTCTAAATGAGTAGACCAACATTGTTTATTAACATATTTTTCTGTAATTTTTCAAATCACTTTTTCCGTTGTAAAATTTGTTTACCATTTGCACTGGGTGTCTCAGTTCATTGTATCAACGGAATTTCAAACAGCAATTCGACTCGAATCAAGTTGAATAATGGTAATAGATAAATGGTAGAATCACCCTATGTATGCATGAAATGCGGTGACTTCTTTCTCATTTTTAAATATTAGCATTTCGTTCCGTTTCGTTTGTTTCCGATTATTTTGTGTCATATGAGATCCTCATGCATGCAGTCTGTTCCGTCCATGTGAGTCAACGATTTTGGATTTTTAATTGCCCGTTACCATACATACGTACAAACCAAAAGAGAGAAAGAGAGAGGGAGCGAGTGAAACAGACAGACAATAGCATAACAACACACGAGAAAACTAACAACAGACAAAAAACCATACGCACACAATGCTTCTGTGAAATGAATGAATAAAACTCAACTAGAATAAATTATTTTGAATTTCGAAAAAAAAATGTTATTACTATTATTGCGTTATAGTCTCTGTCGCTCTTTTTTTTCTGTCCATCGTATTTAAATAAATCGTGCTGTGTGTGCTCATAAATATTTCCAATGTTGTCTTTGTGGATATGGATTGTTGTGGGTTTTTCGTTTTGGCCAACAATTTAAATCAGTCGAGAAATTACTCGCTAAAAATGACCAATTTTTTTTCACCTTCTTTTGAATCAACAACATATTTTCACATCAGTTCTATCCCATCGTTTATTACCTACAGCTCGTTCCATCTCTCTCTCTCTCTCTCTCTCTCTCTCTCTCTCTCTCTCTCTCTCT